CTCCCCTACCTCCCTCTCTCCCCTCCCCTTCTCCCCTCTCCTCCTCTGCTCCCTTTCACCTTCCCTCCCTCCCTCTCTCCCCTCCCCTCCCTCCCTCCCTCTCTCCCCTACCTCCCTCTCTCCCCTCCCCTTCTCCCCTCTCCTCCCCTGCTCCTTTTCCTCTCCCTCCCTCCCCTCCCCTTCTCCCTCTCCTCCCCATTTTCTTTCCCCTCCCTTCCCTCCCTCCCTCCTTCCCTCCCTTGCAAGCACTTGTCACTTTTTGTTTATGCTTATTATATTTTTATAGCAGAAAGCAGTATCTTTACTCTTTCTTAACCTCTGTTATGTTGAAAAATAACACAAGTTAATCTTTTGTTGAAGAATCTTGATGGTGTTGGGGGTGGGAGGTACACCGGGCCCTGAGTTCCCGGGTTTCTGAGCCGCCTGTAGGGTCGCTTTCTGCGTCTTCTATTAGTGCAGCATTTTCACTTGGTCTCTCAGGGTTTATGGTCCAGCAGCATCTCAGAGCGCGGTCTTTGGAGATGTATGCCCCCTACTCGTGTCTCTCTTGGATGGGTGAGTTCAAATACTGCTCTAAGGCCAGTCATCATAGTCACATTTAAATATACATACGCTTCATTGTGTGGAGTGAGAAGGTAGTGTTAGAGTCTGAGCATTTTACAGGACTGCAGAGCACACCCACGGTAACCCAGCCTGGACGCCGCGTGCATCCGTGGAGACTATTTCCGCACCTTAGGAAAAGGGGCGAGAGTGAGTTGGAGAATGCTTGTTAACTGAGTATATCTACCTGGGATTCCAGACTCCACCTTAGTTACGTTGCATGTGGGCTTCAGCTCTGATAGCAGCTGCCATTCTCTCTGGGATTCCTTTACATTTCAGAATTTTAATAAAATCTATAAGAATGTTAACATCAGACCTAGGGACTTTTCCCTTTGGGAATCTGCTTTCTGTTCTTGCAATACACAACTACTGACGTCAAAGGCAGTGGGTCGTAATTCAGGGATGATGAATTTTTTTACTTCATGGAGACACCTTAAGCCAAGACTTCCTACTCCTGGGGCTTTGGAAGGGTCTCGGTTTTGTGGCGGAGTCTCCATAAAGTTCCTGACGAAGACTGACTTGACTCGAAATTTGTCCAGCAAAGGCTTCTGCACAGCCATGCTCAAGAAACTAGACACCCTAATTATACAGTGTGCTGTGCACCCCAAAGGCATGTGATCCGGCTAGTAGGGTCAACTCAGGAAGCTGCTGTGTCCGACTGCGTGCACACTGGCGGGGCCGCACCCACAATCAGGATACAGCTGCTGCTTCAACTCTTCCCCCAGAGGCTGGAACTTTATACCCAACTGAAAAAATGTGTTTGAAAATGATAGGGTAGTCTCTGTTTAAGTAGGCATCTTTTAAGTAAGCATATTCCTGAAATAAAAAGCACATCGTGGTTAGAGTGATCACTGCCAGAGCTGCCTTTTCAGGATAACACGAAACAGATGGAGTTATTTTAAGTCCCGAGTCTTGTCGGTGAAAAGAGTCAAACTCTGTAAAATATTGGGAAAGATTTACTCTGAGCCAAACATGAGTGATCATGGCCTGCGACACAGCCCTCGGGAGGCCCTGAGAACATGTACCCAAGGTGGTCCGGTGCAGCTCGGTTTTACACGTTTTAGGGAGACGTGAGACGTCCGTCAAGTTCATTTAAGAAATGCATTGCTCAGGGCCTCTGGTTAAGGCGAAGGATTGTGGAGACCAAAGTTCTCCTTTGCAGAGGAAGCCTTCAGGTTTGGCGAGAGCAGGTGGTCAGTGTTTCTTATCAGAAGTCAGGCCAGTGTTGATGTCAGTGCAGGAAGGCGTGATGAGGCCTGTCCGGTCCCCACTTCCCATCATGGCCCCAGCCGGACTCTGAGTTAAATTTGAGTGCTCTGGTCGAGAAGGAAGCCCATGCAGCTGTCTGGGGGCCTTAGGATTTTATTTTTGGTTTACAGCTTCCTTCCTCAGGAAGTTTCCTTTCCCTCTACATCCCTAAATGGTTTGAAAGACCCCTGGAAGAACCCATTTATCTGTTATCGTCAAAGATAGTCTCCACACTAAGAAAGGCACATAAATGAACTCAGGGAAGCTGGAAGAGACAGGGGATGTAGTGGGGTTTTGTTATGAATGCCTTGAGATTTTTTAATTCTGGAAGGAACAATCCGGGCTGGGAACAGAGGCCTGATTAGCTTTGCGGGAGTGTGAGGCTTCCAGGCTCTTATTGCTACAACTCAAACGGTCAGCCCAGGACCGGCCTCTGCTGCTTTCCTGTCCTGCTCTAGGGGTGATTTAGCTGTCAGTCAGGACACTGTCTTGTAACTATTTTATCAAAACAGCAGCCTTTATTTGTTTGACTTGTGTTGGGTATACCACGTTAAACATGTGTTAACAAATCACACTTACTATATATAATGTATGTTAAATGAGATAAAAGTTTACATATTTTCTTTTGATATTCTGAAAGTATTTTCCTTTAACATAAGTAATTGAGTACTAACATCATTAACTATAGTAATACTTAAGATGGTAACATGTTATTTTAATATAGAGATAGGGGTCCCACTATGTTGCCCAGGCTGGTCTCAAACTCCTGGGCTCAAGGGATCCTCCTACTTTATCCTCCTGAAGTGCTGGGATTATAAGCACGAGCCATTTTTGTATATGTTTTCATATAAAAAATAGTTTTGTACTTTGTATGGGAAGGGACTTGGAGGTTTTCCTGTCCGCCGTCAATCCGCACATGCTGAAGTCGGAGTCACAGCTGACCAGTTCAGTCAGAATTTCTGAGTATACGACCTGCTTCATCTCCCCAGGTGAGTTGGATGGGTGGTCAGGGCTGGACATCCTACTCTGAGGCGCCAGCCCACCTAGCATCACGCCATGTGGACCCACCGCACCATATGGTACCTGCGATTTTAGGGACATGCACTTGCATTGGGCAGCTCTGATGCTGCATTGAAAGTTACAGTGAAGCCATTCGCCCGTTAGCACATTCCTGAATGTGGTTCACGCCTGGAATCCCAGCGCTTTGGGAGGCTGAGGCAGGCGGATCACTTGAGGTCAGGAGTTCCAGACCAGCCTGGCCAGCATGGTGAAACACCGTCTCTACTAATAATACAAAAAATAGCTGTTTGTGGTGGTGCACGCCTGTGATCCCAGCTACTCAGGAGGGAGGCAGAGGTTGCATTGAGCCGAGATCACCACTGCACTCCAGCCTGGGTGACAGAGCAAGACTCTATCTCAAAAAAAGAAAAAGAAAAAGAAAAAGAAAGTTAAGGTGTAGGTGTGGGGCCTTGCTAAGGTCAGAATCCCCATGTGAACGCTGAGCCCTCGAACGGGGAGGTCAGAATCCCCATGTGAACGCTGAGCCCTCGAACAGGGAGGTGAAAACACCTGGGAGAAACCGGGATGGAGGAACCCATGCTGCGTGTGTCAGAGCAAACACTCTTTAATCCAGTCTTGTACAACAGGATAGCAACACCAATGGATTATGTAAAAAATAGTTGTAGTTCAATGAAAGCCTAATTTATAAGAAATGGAGTAACAGGGGAATAGGAAACGAAACTTACTGCATTTCTCGTACAAGTAACAATGTTTCCTGGAATCTTCTTGGCACCAGCCCCAGGTGTGTCTTGCTGACTGAATCTGCTCTGAATTTTAGGTACCAAGTTTGTGTTATGACGTATGGACAGACGGGCAGCGGGAAGACCTACACCATGCTGGGATCCCATTCGGACGATAACCCTATCCTGCCTTTCCTCCCACAGGGGACTTAGGAATTATCCCCAGAGAGGCTGAGGAGCTCGTCAGGTACCACAGACAGTGATGAGTGGGGCAGAGAACTATGGCACGGAAGCCAGGTGGGCGGCACCTTGGTCATCACGTGGGAAAAATTATTGCCATTTGAAGAAATTGATCAAACCCCATAATCTCCTCAGATACATTAAACACTACCAAGCACTTCCAGACTTCTGGGCATTATTGCTACAAATTCCTGTGATGAAATTATGTTGAAATTCTATCATGAAGACAAAACCTTTTTTTATTTTTCAATTTTTTTGGAGACAAAGTCTTGCTTTGTCACCCAGGCTGGAGTGCAGTGGCACAATCTTGGCTCACTGCAACCTCTGCCTCCTGGGTTCAAGCTGGGTAGCTGGGATTATAGGTGTACGCCACCACACCCGGCTAATTTTTGTATTTTTAGTAGAGATGGGGTTTCACCATGTTGACCAGGCTAGTCTTGAACTCCTGACATCAGGTGATCCACCCACGTCGGCTTCCCAGAGTGCTGGGATTACAGGCGTGAGCCACTGTGCCTGGCCAAGGCAAAACTTCTTGAAAGAGATCCCGAGATGGTGGGGGATGGTGAGGGATGGTGGGGAAGGTGGGGGATGGTGGGGGATGGTACGGGATAGTGGGGGATGGTGGGGGATGATTGGGGATGGTGGGGATGGAGGTTTTCTGTCCTGAAATGGGAAGCACAGAGTGAAAATTCTTGTCCTCCGGTCGCCTTTCCCCTCCCCCATCAAGAGTCTACGCATCCACTTGTCTTTAGGGTCCAGCCAACATGGCCTGTGAGGAGGCTCAAGACCCGTTAGCACATTCCTGAAAGAGACCTACTGCCAATGTCATGGTTTCACCAACAAAATTAGTCCTAGAGGAAAAAGAGCAAAAGGTCGTCTCAGCAGTCCAGAGGCGCAGGAAAGCCTGAATGTCCTCAGGATCTCCTCCCCGGGCTGGCAGGGCCCTCCAGCCTTTGGTGGAGACGTGGCAGGATGTTCACGCTCACGCGTGTGTGTGCATCCTGCACTGCAGGGTGGCGGCTTTCTCGGTGGCATGTCCCCGGAGCGGCCAGCCCCTTGGAGCAGCACGCTGGCGGTGGAGCCGACTGGCCCTTCGTGCCCACCCCCTCCAAGGTTTGATTTTTGTCTCTTGTGTGTCCTCAAATGGCCCGTTCACATCTGAAAACTGGGGCTGGACCAAGATGTGAGAGCTTCCGCAATAGCTAATATTTCAGTGCCTCTTCAGATCAATACTCTTTAAGTATTTGTGCACAGAAACCAATGTATGTGTGAATTTGCCTCTCTTCGTTCTTTCTGAAGCAAAACTGGCCAGCACCTCGCTGTTTTCGGTTCTCATCTCCTGTGCCCAGGAGACACTGGCCCAGAGGGAGAGACTGTGTGTAGGAACAGACCTTCGGTGAAAAGGCCATGTGGAGCGCAGGCCTCTGCGTTCTCGGGGGAGGGGTCCACATGCCCGCATGTACCCATCCCACTGGGGAATGCCACGCATCAGTCCTGCTCACGCATCGTGTGGCCACATCTGCGTTCCACAGGGCGCAAGCTGGTGGAGCAAAACATCTGCCACAGCGACACAGCCTGCCGTGGACACAGCCCACCATGGACACAGCCCACCACGGACAAAGCCCACCACAGACAGACAGCCCACCACGGACACAGCCCACTGCGGACACACAGCCCACCACGGACACACAGCCCACCGCAGACACAGCCCACCGTGGACACACAGACCACCATGGACACACGGTCCACCACGGACACAGCCCACCATGGACACACAGCCCACTTCAGAACACAGCCCACCATGGACACACAGTCCACCGTGGACACACAGCCCACCACGGACACACAGCCCACTGCGGACACACAGCCCACTTCAGAACACAGCCCATTGCGGACACACAGCCCACTGCGGAACACAGCCCACCGCGGACACAGCCCACCGCAGACACACAGCCCACGGCAGACACACAGCCCACTGCGGACACAGCCCACTGTGGAACACACAGGCGACCATGGACACAGCCTGCTGCGGACACAGCCCGCTGCGGACACAGCCCACTGTGGACACACAGCCCGCTGCAGACACTCAGCCAAGGGCTGTTAACTTAGGCAACCAAGGCCCAGTCTCCGGTACTGCACTGCGTCATGCTGTTGATTCAGTTTCAGAATTTCACGACCCTGTGGCTCCCGATGTGGGTCACAGACATGCTGGGCAGTGCCAGGTTGCTGCTGGGGACATCACTTTCCATTTCTTCTCTGGTCCCTTCTCCAGGGAAAGGATCTTCACAAGGGGGTGATGGTCTCCATTAGCTGGCAGCCTGAGGGTCAGCCCGTCGGGACACGGCAGAGCTGCGGCTGCTGGTGGCTTTCCCAGCCTCCTTTGGAGAGACGCTGGAGAACAGGGAGTGGAGGAGGGAATCCTGGAGAAAGGCTCTCCCTGGACGAGGCTGTCCCCCTCCCCTGAGGCCCTGGCTGCCCTGCACGGCTGCCCTCACTCACACACGCACCCGACATATAGGAGACCCTGCTCCGTGCGCCCTTAAACTTAGCATCCACACTGACAACGTGACAGCTGTCCAAATTAATGGAGAAAGTCAGCTTGCATGGATGGTGCATGTCACTAAATATTCAAGGCGTCATTCTTCCTTCTGCTAAGCAAACTCCTGAGGGCCCAGAAACAGTCTCAGGCAAGAGCGCTGGGAACTGAGGTAGAAAGTGGGAGAGAATGGTGGGAGTTTAGAGACGCCCCCCAACTCCCACCCCAGTGCGTTTCTTTTTGTCTGTGACAGTGGGGACACCATGGTGGGAGGGGAGATGTGGCGTGGCAGCGCGTCCCAGAGGCTGGCTTCCTTATGTTCCCAGTGGGAGCTGTGTGCGTACTTCCAAGTCGTTTCACCCTCAGCTGGGCTTAGAGACACACGATGCACGGCCATCAGAGCAGGCATCTGACATCCCGTGGCTGCATTTCCATGTGGCTCTAGACTTTACCAGGAAGCACATCAGAGGGCTGCTGAGATGGGGAAGGGCTGTTAGCTGCCTGCAAATGCTAGGCAAGATCCATCAGGAAGACGGCCAGGCAGCTGGGCCTCTCCAGAAACGGCTCATCAGCATTACCAACGGGCCAGG